CGCTGCTATTTTACGTTTGCGGACATGGGGTTCCTATTTCAAAGTTATTCTATAGGGAACCCTCAGTACACTCCTGAAGTATGGCACCAAACTCGTGGGACATCCTGTATTTACTCACATTAACCATCTGCACAATTGTTCTCAAAACTTAACTAAAACTGTTAATACAATTTCAATCTGAGACATTTAATGCATCAATGTTCAGCAGTTGTAATATGTTTCAGCACCATGTGCTATCATCAGATGATTTTTCAATTATTTTCATTATGTAACATTTTGGTTCAGTACTGAGTAATTCCTCTCCAATCTTATTATACTGATTTAACTTGTTCGTTTACCCATGCCCCAGCCAATATTATATACATTCACAAAATTCAGTTTGATTAGATTATCATTAAAGAGTTCTGGGTGCAGCAGTCACTTATTAAGTGAGGGATTTGCATGCATGTTGCTACAGTGCAGCAGATTTTCTAGGCATTCATCCATTTCTTGTATCACCTGTGTATATTTTTATTGTACACTCATTAACATTGGGAACGTTGTTGAAGTGCTGAAAAGTCATAACACTGTAGTTGAAGGTAATTTACAAGTTCTATTCAGAATTAACCTCCGTTTATTTTAGGCAATTAATGTAACGGGGGGGTGAACTCAGGCATGCAGGGTAGTGTCACATGACTCACTGCCTTGTAAATCATCACATAACTGGTCAACTAATATTTGTTCTTGTCTCTACAAAGCGAGTTGTGATGTGTCCTGCAATTGATAATCATGCCATCAGCAAAATGTGTGCTGTTATCAACTTTCTTCATGTTAAAAACATAAGTGCTGTGGAAATCCATGGTAAATTATGTGCGGTTTACAGCCAAAATGTAGTGAGTGAAGGAACTGTAAGACAGTGGTGTAGAATGTTCAAAAATGGGCAGGTGAACAGATATTCATGATGAAGAGCGAAGTGGTTAACCATCTATAGTGAGTGATGATATTGTTCAAAGTGTTGACCAAAAGAACCTGTGAAAGATGGCACTTCACAATTTCAGAACTTCCATGTGAATTTCTACAAATTTCATGCACCGTTCTCTACAAGAATGTCACAGTTAGGCTGGTCTGTCACAAGTTTTGTGTGAGATGGGTTCTGAAGATGCTCATGGGTGTGCACAAAACGCAGAGAATGGCTTTGGCTTGGTGCTTTTAGAGCACTACCGCAAAGATGGTTATGAATTTCTGTCACATTGCAACAGGTGATGAAACCTGGGTTTCATTTGTGAATGTTTATGACCAAAGAGCAGTCGAAGCAGTGGCTGCACATGCATTTACCAAACAAGCTGAGAAAGTTTAAATGAATATCTGACAGAAAGCTGATGGCATCTGTTTTCTGGGACAGGAAAGGAGTGCTAATGGTGCAATTCATGCAACATGGGACCACAATAACTTCACAGGTGTATTGTGAAACATTAAAAAAATGTAGGCCAATTCAGAAAAAAGAGTGGAATGCTGACATTCAGTTTATTGCTTCTTCATGACAATGCTCATCTGCATGCAGCTGCTTGCACTCAAGCACTACTGGAGCATTTCTACTGGGAGTTTGACCACCCTCCTTACATCCCTGATCTTGCTCCGAGTGACTACCGCCTGTTTACCTACCTGAAGAACTGGTTGGGGAGATCACAGCACTTCAACAATAATTGGGAGTTGATGAAAGGTGTCATAACATTGCTGAGCTCACGGGTGGCAGACTTCTTTGACACAGGCATACAACAACTTATTCCCTGGTACAAGAAGTGCCTCAATTACAACGGTGACTATGTTGAGAAGTAACAGCTCATCAAAGGTTACTTTCTGATTAGTCCTCACACTTTGAAAATGCTGTGAAGAAATTGTGCAAAAGTTGAATAAACCAGTGGCAGAGAATGTATATTTAAGAGACATCGTACTTAAATTTAAATTGTTAGTAGTAATTACACAGATTGTTCATGCCCCACCATATATGCAATGGTAATACCTGTTACAAAAAGAGAACTATTGCCATCTTCATACCCATCTCCTACCATTCTCCACTGACACCACTGACATGTAATCATATCATTCCTCATTCATTCCGGTGGACTGGATACTCATACAGGGGCACTAGTATTTTGGGGTCTCTGGTTATGTAAATGGCTTGTATATGTTTGTCTGACTTGAAATGCAGGTTTTTGAATGAAGATGAAGTTAACTTATGCCAGTGATGTTGCTATTGTTATTGCTTAATTCACTTAATGTTCTTTAGTGTCTTCCCTTCAACGCCCACGTCATCCTGGACAGTCACTTCCAGACCTCAGATCTGATTTTGAATTGGACAGTGGAGATTCAACTGATTCGCTTATTGATGAGGCAGAAGAATACTTACGTCGGTCTATTGATTCAATACTCACAGGAACAGACTGGGGACGAGTTGGACAGCGCAGACAGAACCGCAGGTTTTCAGAACCAGATCCTGTTCGAGGTATGACATGGCAGTGTTATTTTAATGTAATTGTGGGCTTTCAGGCAATTTTTCATTAGAATATTTTGAAGTAGAGTTCAGTATACGAGGGTTGGAACTTTAATAGTGACAGCACTGCTGTAGACGCCATGCAACAGAACCAAATAATGTCATTTATACCACACGTTAGTTACATACCTACCTTACCTCAGAGCAAATGGACTCTCCCTTGCCACATCACACACGTGTGCAGTAACGAGAAGAACAGAGCCTCATGTTAGCTGGCGGTCTAATGTAGTGTTGTCACGATGTTTTCGAAACAGGAACAACGAAGCTGGATAAAGATTGAATGTGCCAGAGGCCGTAAAGCACGACAGTGTCATCAAGGTCTTCAAGAGGCTTGCGGGGAATCTGCATCGCCTTATAGAACAGTGGCAAGGTGGGTAAAAGCCTTCAATGAGGGATGTCAAAATGTGGCACACATGCGTCAGCCAGGTCATCCTAGTGTCAGTGAAGAAGAAGTGTATGCTCTTTCCGTGTTACTGGAGAGTGATCAACGCCATACGATTCGTGAGCTGGCCCAAGAGACAGGATTAGCGCATATGACTGTGCTTCACATTCTGAATGCCTGGGCATGAGAAAAATTGCATCACGATGTGTTCCGCATGATTTGACGGAAATGCAGAAATGGCTACAATACAACGCCGCTCCTAACCACTTGGAGTGCTATGAGCGCGAAGGAGAGGTTTTCTTACACCATGTCATTACGCTGGATGAGACATGGGCCAAATCGTATGAGCCACAGATGAAACGCCAATAGAATGAGTGGCGTCATTACAGGTCACCACGAAAGTCAAAAGTTCATCAGAACCCCAGCAGTGTGAAAGTTATGATGATTCTCGTGTACGAGTACGACTGTGATGGTGTTGTCCTAACGCATACCGTTCCCCGACAGCAGACTGTCAGTGCCCAGTATTACTATTCATTTTTTGAACACAACCTGCTACGAGCTTTGAGAAAGAAGTGGTGACACTTTCTGCAGAACCCACTCATCATTTTGCAGGACAATGCTCGGCTGCATGCAGCGAAAGCTGTGGCTGATTTGTTCGATCGATGGGGCTGGGAAGTGCTGTACCATCCACCATACTCCCCGGACTTAAGCCCTTGTGACTTTGACTTGATTCCTAAGATGAAGGAACCACTTCGTGGCATTTGCTTCAGAACTGTTCCAGAGATTCTTCAGGCAG